GTGGGGACAGTGTGACACCCTGGGGACAGCCCCACATGGCTGGGGACAGCCTGAGTCCCGTGGGGACAGTGTGACACCCGTGGGGACAGCCTGGCATGGCTGGGTACAGCCTGAACACCGTGGGGACACTGTGACACCCGTGGGGACACCGTGACACCCGTGGGGACAGTGTGACACCCTGGGGACAGCCCCACATGGCTGGGCACAGCCTGAATCCCGTGGGGACTGCCTGAATTCTGTGGGGACAGTGTGACACCCGTGGGGACAGTGTGACACCCCTGGGGACAGTGTGATACCCTGGGGACAGTGTGACACCCGTGGGGACAACCCGGCAGCCCCGGGGACACCCCAAACACCCCCTGGGACACCGCAACATCTGCTGGGACATCCCCGAGGGCACATCCCAACACCCCCTGGCACCCCAACACCCCCGGGACAACCCAAACACCCCCTAGGACACCCCAAACACCGCTGGGACCCCTCCCGTGCACCCCCCACACCCCAGGCCCTCGCCCACCCTGCCCCCTCCCCCAGTTACAAGTCGTGCCTGCCGGAGCCGCTGCGGGCTCAGATCCAGCAGCACAACTTCGTGACCCGCAAGCGTCTGCGGCGCCGCTTCGGAGAATCCCTGCGGCGCCTCGGGGGCTGCCACCCGGACGGAGCCCACCTCAAACTCAAATACCTGCTGGACCTGGAGCGGCTGCAGCGCCAGCGCAGCGAGGAGATTTTCAGGGTGCGCTCGCCCGGATCCGGGGCCCCCATCGCCATCCACGTGTGCGGGGACAGCGGCGTGGCCTGGAGCTGCGACGGCTCCGAGGTGCGATGGACTCGCAGGGGTGGCACTGGGGGGTGGGATTGTCACTGGGTGCCCTGGTTTGGAGGACAGGTGTGTGCTGAGAAAGGCAGGAATGGAGAATGGAAACCTCCTGCCTCCAAATTATTGTAATGTTGAAATCAAGGAGCTCTCAGTAAATATGGGAATAGGAATAACAGTTCTTTACTTGGGAAATTAAAATAGAAATACAATACTCCTGTTTTAGTTTGGAGGACAGGTGTGTGCTGAGAAAGGCAGGAATGGAGAATGGAAACCTCCTGCCTCCTAATTATTGTAATGTTGAAATTAAGGAGCTCTCAGGAAATATGGGAATAGGAATAACAGTTCTTTACTAGGGAAATTAAAATAGAAATACAGCACTACTGTCCTGGTTTGGAGGACAGGTGTGTGCTGAGAAAGGCAGAAATGGAGAATGAAAACCCCCTCCCTCCAAATTATTGTAATTTTGAAATTAAGGAGCTCTCAGGCAAAGAAATGGGAATAGGAATAACAGTTCTTTATTAAGGAAATTAAAATAGAAATACAGAATTACAAAGAAACAAACCCCAAACCCTGCCTCTCTTTGAAATGGAGAATGGAAACCCCCTCCCGCCAAATTATTATAATTTTGAAATCAAGGGACTTTCAGGAAATATGGAAATAGGAATAACAGTTCTTTACTTGGGAAATTAAAATAGAGATAGAATACTACTGTCCTGGTTTGGAGGGCAGGTGTGTGCTGAGAAAGGCAGGAATGGAGAATGGAAACCCCTTCCCTCCGAATTATAATAATTTTGAAATTAAGGGGCTTTCAGGAAATATGGGAATAGGAATAACAGTTCTTTNCTAGGGAAATTAAAATAGAAATACAGAATTACAAAGAACAAACCCCAAACCCTGCCAGAGTCAGAATCCAAGCTGACACCAAGCCGAAGATAAAAAGGATCATTTTGGGTTCTTAATCAAAACCATTAGATGAAGTTAAAACGCTTTTTAAAATACACTTTACAACACATTAACCTGTTGCGTATTCATAGTTTTTTACGTATAGTTAAAATTTTTTGGGAACTATTTAACATGGTTACTTTTGGGGTTCTCTTTTTTAGAGCACATGTGTTTTTTGGCTCGTGGCTTTAAATTTTTTTTAATTATTTTTAATTTGGGTGGTGATTTTGACTTTTTGCATTGCAGTTGGTTGATAATTGTCGTGTCGGCTGCAGGGTCCCGTTCACATTCACATTATCTTCACCTCCTGATGCTGATTAAGAGCCCGAAATGATCCTTTTTAAGAACTCAAAACGATCCCTTCTATTCTTTTTATTGCATGGGCTGTTATTTTAATTAAGTGGGTAATTTAAGCACACTATTTTAAAAAAACCACCAACTTAACGCCTAACTTTTGCTATTAGAAAAAAAAATTTAAAACATACATTCATACAGAAAAGCTATTTCAATACGACACATTTATTTCAATATTTCAATAAATTTAATTTATTTACAACATCCCCCCTTGTCCCCTCAGAGCCGCCAGCATTTCTGCGACTTCCCCGATATCGCCGACATCAGCATCAAGCAGGCGGCGAGCGGCGCGACCGAGAACCGGCTGGTCACCGTCACCAAGGCGGACACCCGCGTGCTGGTGAGCTCGGGGAGGGTCTGGGGACACCCCCGGGGGGCTGGAGGGGACAAGGGGGTGACCCCGGTGTGGCCGCAGGAGGTGGAGTTCCCCTCGCTGCGGGAGGCTCGCTCCTTCGTGGCTCTGCTCGATGGTTACTACCGGCTGACCGCGGATGCCCAGCACTACTTCTGCAGGGAGGTGGCACCGCCGCGGCTGCTCGAGGATCTGGAGAATCGGTGCCACGGGCCCATCAGGTGGGGATCGGCACCCCACGAGCGGCGCTGAGCTCCTCTGGAGGGAGGGGATGGAACCGCGGGGTCCGCACGGGGATGGAACCCATGGGGATGGAACTGCGGGTACCCATGGGGATAGAACCCACGGGGATGGAACCGCGGGGTCCGCACGGGGATGGAACCCACAGGGATGGAACCGCGGGGTCCTCACGGGGATAGAACCCATGGGGATGGAAGTGCGGGTACCCATGGGGATAGAACCCACGGGGATGGAACCGCGGGGTCCGCACGGGGATGGAACCCATGGGGATGGAACACCCGGGTACCCATGGGGATAGAACCCATGGGGATGGAACTGCGGGTACCCATGGGGATAGAACCCACAGGGATGGAACCGCGGGGTCCGCACAGGGATGGAACCCATGGGGATGGAACACCCGGGTACCCATGGGGATAGAACCCACAGGGATGGAACCGCGGGGTCCTCACGGGGATAGAACCCATGGGGATGGAACCGCGGGTACCCATGGGGATAGAACCCACGGGGATGGAACCACGGGGTCCGCACAGGGATGGAATCGCGGGGTTCTTACGGGGATGGAACCACCGGGTACCCATGGGGATAGAACCCACGGGGATGGAACCCACGGGAATGGAACCCACGGGGATGGAACCCACGGGGATGGAACCGCGGGGATGGAACCCACGGGGATGGAACCGCGGGGTCCGCACGGGAATGGAACCACCGGGGATGGAACCCACGGATCCCCACGGGGATGGAACCCACGGGGATGGAACCTCGGGGTCCTCACGGGATTGGAACCACCGGGGATGGAACCCACGGATCCCCACGGGGATGGAACCGCTGCTCCCCGTGGGGATGGAATCTGTGGGGATGGAACCCCTGAGTCCCCACGGGGATCTGCATTTTGGGGTGGGCACGGGAGGGCACGGGGGGTGCCCGCGATGTCCCCGAGGGGCACCGCGGCCACATCCCCGCACCCCGGACAGCGCCGAGTTCGCCGTGAACAAGCTGGAGGCGGCCGGGGGAGCCCCGGGGCTGTTCCTGCTGCGCCGCAGCCCCCAGGATTTCGACAGCTACCTGCTGACCGTGTGCGTCCAGGTGAGACCCCCGGGGGGGTTTGGGGGGCACGGGGGCGCTGGGGGGGGTTCCCCAGGGTGCTGATCCCGGGGTTTCTCCCCACAGACCCGCTCGGGCCGGGATTACAAGCGCTGCCGGATCCGGCGGGATGAGAGCGGGCACTTCTGGCTGGCGGGGGTGGCGCGGAGGTTCGGGAGCCTGCGGGAGCTGCTCGGCACCTACGGGCACCGCGGGCTGCAGGCCGAGGGGACACTGATCCGCCTGGAGGTGGCCTGTCCCCCCCGGGCCAAAGGTGACACCGGGGGGCAGCGCGGGGGGGGGAATGGGGGTGACAGAGAGGCTGTGATGTCACAGAGAGGGGGCTGTGATGTCATAGACAGGGGTGTGATGTCACAGAGCAGCTGTGATGTCACAGAGGGGGCTATGATGTCACAGAGCAAGCTGTGATGTCACAGAGGGAGCTGTGATGTCACAGAAGGGCACTGTGATGTCACAGAGGGAGCTGTGATGTCACAGAAGGGCACTGTGATGTCATACAGGAGGTTGTGATGTCACAGAGAGGACTGTGATGTCACAGAGGGGCTGTGATGTCACAGAGGGGGTTGTGATGTCACAGAGCAGTCACTGTGATGCCACAGAGGTGTCACTGTGATGTGACAGAGCAGGCTGTGATGTCACACAGGGGGCTGTGATCTCACAGAGGGGGTGTGATGTCACACAGGTGTCACTGTGATGTCACAGAGCAGGCTGTGACATCCCACAGCCGGTTGTGACATCACAGGTGGCTCTATGAGGTCACCAGCTGTGTGCCCCCTGCCCCACCCCCCTGACCCCTGTCCCCTCCCCCAGACAAGTCCAACCTGCTGATCGTGCGCAGCGGGGTCCCGCACCCCCCCGGCTCCCCGCCCGCCCCCCGGCGCCGCAGCCTCCAGCAGATGATGTTCCACAAGATCGACCCCCAGAGCCTGACACGGGTACAGGGGCAGGGACACTGGGGGGGTGGCCCAGGGGACAGGAACCCCCTGGTGATGTCCCCGTGTCCCCCAGGGTGAGAGCCTGGGCCAGGGCTCCTTCACCCAGATCTACAAAGGCGTCAAACGGGAGCAGGACGAGCAGGACGGAGCCCGGCACACCCCGGTGGTGCTCAAGGTCATGGACAGCAGCCACCAAAACTGCCTGGAGGTGAGGGGGGTGGCACTGCCACCTCCAGGCTGTCACCTAGGGGTCCCCAAGGCCCGCCCTGAGCTGCCTGTCCCTGTCCCAGTCCTTCCTGGAGGCCGCCAGCACCATGAGCCAGCTGTCCCACAAACACCTGGTGCTGCTGCACGGCGTCAGCCTCGGCAAGGACAGTGAGTGTCCGGCGGGGTGGTGGCCACGGGGCCACCTGGGCACCCCCTGAGCCCTTGGTGGGCACTCCTGACCCCCGTGTGGCCCCCAGCCGTGATGGTGCAGGAGCTCGTCCGGCACGGGCCGCTGGACCTGTACCTGCGCAAGAACCGCGGCGCCGTCACCACCGGCTGGAAGCTGACGGTGGCCAAGCAGTTGGCCTACGCCCTCAACTACCTGGTGAGCCCACGGCCGTGTCCTGCAGCTCCCTGCTGTCCCCATCCCGTGGATCCCCTGTGTCCTTGTCCCACACACCCATATCCCATGGATCCCATGTGCCCATATCCCATGGATACCATAGATCCCATGGATCCCATACATCCACATCCCATGGATCCCATGTGTCCATGTCCCATGGATCCCACACATCCACATCCCATAAATACCGTGTGTCCATATCCCATGGATCCGTCTGTTCACATCCTATGGATCCCATACATCCATATCCCATGGATCCTGTGTGTCCATGTCCTCTGAATCCCACTCATCCACATCCCATGGATCCCTCATGTCCACATCCCATGGATCCCACACATTCCCATCCCATGGATCCACACACCTATATCCCATGGATCCCATAGATCCACATCCCATGGATCCCATGTGTCCACATCTCATTGATCTCATACATCCATATCCCATGGATCCCCCATATCCACATCCCATAAATACCGTGTGTCCATATCCCATGGATCCTGTGTATCCATGTCCTGTGGATCCCACATGTCCATATCCCATGGATCTGATGTATCCACATCCCATAGATCCCATGGATCCCTATCCCACAGTCCTCACACCCCCATATCCCATGGATCCCACACATCTGGATCCCATGGATCCCCACACATCTGGATCCCATGGATGCCCATGCCACAATTCTCACACTCCCATATCCCATTGATCCTATAGATCCCACACCCCCATATCCCATGGATCCCACACGTCTGGATCCCAAGGATCCCATAGATCCCATGGATTCCAGAATCCCCACACCCCATATCCCATGGATCCCACACATCTCAATCCCATAGATCCCTATCCCACAATCCCCACACCCCATATCCCATGGATCCCACACCCCCATATCCCATTGATCCCATGGATCCCATGGATCCCACACCCCCATATCCCATTGATCCCATGGATCCCATGGATCCCACACCCCCATATCCCATGGATCCCACACATCTGGATCCCATGGATCCCACACATCTGGATCCCATGGATCCCATGGATCCCCATCCCATAATCCCCACACCCCATATCCCATAGATCCCACACGTCTGGATCCCATAGATCCCTGGGCGCTCCCCCCAGCCCACCCCGGTGCCTGGGACCCCCCTGAGGGTCCCCACCCCTGTTCCCCCCCCCAGGAGGACAAGAAGATCCCACACGGGAACGTCTCGGCCAAGAAGGTGCTGCTGGCCCGGGAGGGGGACGCCGGGGGGAGCCCCCCCTTCATCAAACTCAACGACCCCGGGGTCAGCGTCACCGTCCTGGCCCCCCACAGTGAGTTGGGGGGGGCCTGGGCGGTGGGGGTCCTGGGTTTGGGGTCCTGGCTGTGGATTTGGGGTCCTGGGTTTGGGGTCCTGGTTCTGGGCTCCCATTCCCCTTCATCAAACTCAACGACCCGGGGTCAGCGTCACCGTCCTGGCCCCAGACAGTGAGTCAGGGGGTCATGGGGGTGCTGGGTTTGGGGTGCTGGGTCTGGGTTTGGGGTCCTGGTTCTAGGAATGGGTTTGGGGTCCTGGTTCTAGGGTCCTGGTTCTGGGTTTGGGGTCCTGATTGTGGGTTCAGGGTTCTGCGTTCATCCTCAGCTGCAAATGCTGCCTGTGGGTTCTGGATTCCAGCTCTGGGTTTGGGGTGCTGGTTCTGGGTTTGGGGTCCTGGCAATGGATTTGGGGTCCTGGTTCTCGGTTCAGGATCCTGGTTCTCTGTTCAGGGTCCTGGGTTTGGGTTTGGGGTCCTGGCTATGGGTTTGGGGTGCTGGTTCTGGATTAGGGGTTCTGGGCTCCCATTCCCCTTCACCAAACTCAACCACCCCGGGGTCAGTATCACCCCCCTGGCCCGGGCCAGTGCCTGAGGGGTCCGGGGAAGTTCTGGAGCTGTTCTGGGGGTCCTGGGGCAGTTCTGGGGGTCCTGGGGCAGTTCTGGGGGTTCTGGGGGTGCTGCCCCCCAGCTCTGAGCGGGCCCGGTGCCCCCAGTGCTGCTGGAGCGGATCCCCTGGGTGGCCCCCGAGTGCGTGTGCGATCCCGGGAGCCTGGGGCTGCCGGCCGACAAGTGGGGCTTCGGAGCCACCCTCTGGGAGATCTTCAGCGGGGGCAGCGTGGCCCTGAGCCTGGCCGAGCCCCACAGGGTGAGGCTGGGCTGGGACCCGCCGGGGCCGGCGATTCCTGACCCGTCCCGACATTTCTGACCCATCCCAGCAATTCCTGACCCATCCCGAACCTCCTGACCCATCCTGATCCATCCCACTGGGGCCGGCGATTCCTGACCCGTCCCGACATTTCTGACCCATCCCAGCAATTCCTGACCCGTCCCGACATTTCTGACCCATCCCAGCAATTCCTGACCCATCCCGACATTCCTGACCCGTCCCGACATTCCTGACCCATCCTGATCCTCCAGAACCATCCCGCTGGATCCTGCAATTCCTGACCCATCCCAAACTTCCTGATCTATCCCACCTCTTCCCAAACTTCCTGACCCATCCCACTGGGTCCTGGAATTCCTGACCCATCCCGATCCTCCTGACCCACCCCAAACTTCCTGTCACATCCCAAACTTCCTGTCACATCCCAACCTTCCTGCTCCATCCCGCTGGATCCCAATCCTCCTGTCCCATCCTGTTTTATCCCGACCTTCCTGCCCCATCCCACTGGATCTCAATCCTCCTGTCCCATCTCGTTTTATCCCGACCTTCCTGCCCCATCCCAACTCTCCTGCCCCATCCCACTGTACCCCAGTCCTCCTTCCCCTTCTCTCTACATCCCAGCCCTTCTTCCCTACTCAATTCCATCCCAATCCTCCCATCCCGTCAATCCCATCCCATCCCATCCTGTCCCATCCCATAGATCCTATAGATCCCATAAATCCCATAGATCCCATCCCATCCCATCAATCCTATCCCATAAATCCCACCCTGTCCCATCCTATTCCATGGGTCCCATCCCATCCCATAAACCCCATCCTATACTATAAATCCCATCCTATCTTATTCTATTGATGCCATCTCATAAATCCCATCAATCCCATCAATCCCATCCCATCCCATCCCATCCCATAAATCCTATCCCATAAATCCCATCCCATCCTATTCCATTGATCCCATCCCATCCCATTCCATCAATCCCATCCTATTCTATTCCATTGATGCCATCCCATAAATCCCATAAATCCCATCCCATAAATCCCACAAATCCCATAAATTCCATGAATCCCATTAATCTCATCCCATAAATCCTATCCCATAAATCCTATCCCATCCCACAAACCTCATAAATTCCATAAATCCCATTGATCTCATCCCATCAATCCCATCAATCCCACTGATCCCATCCCACCCCTCCCCAGCTCGGACCCCCTCAGGGTCTCTTTGGGGTGTTCCCACCCCCCTGACCCCCCCCCGTCCCCCTCCCCACAGAAGCTGGAATTCTACCAGAGCCGCCGGCACCTCCCGGCCCCCAAATGGCCGGAGCTGGCCACGCTGGTGGCGCAGTGCATGGAGTACGAGCCCCAGCGCCGGCCCTGCTTCCGAGCCCTCATCCGAGACCTCAACAGCCTCATCACCTCCGGTGGGCACCGCCAGGGATGGGGGACACGGGGGACACGGGGG